CCAGACTCAGCAGGTTGGCGCATTGTTCAGGGGGCAGGTGAACCCCTAGAACTTTGCAGAAGCCCACGCGTAGTACTGTAGTGACCTTGCACACTAGGCCATACATGAGGCCACGTTATTGCTTTCCTCGCGTGTCTCCGGAGCAAGCCGCATGTCTGTGCGCACCAGAGCGTGTCAAAGGTAGGTTAAGGTCACGGATGTGTGTTCACCCTTTGTCTGTCCTAGCTGGCCAATCACTTTCCAAGGCCGTTTCGCAAAGGACCTTATTGCGGCGACTGCCTACGCTCAGAGACCACCGGACCCGGCTGGCTCATGGCTGGACTGCACTCATCCTTGAGTCAATTACCCATTACTCATACTCCACGCCTTCTGCACTTAATTAAACTATTTCCTAGCATTCTGTTCTTCTACGTCTTCTTTTCTTATCTACTGGTTTATAAGCCTTCGGATACCTTCACCGTCTATGAACCGGCCGCATTACTTCGTACCCTGGTCGATATCTTAGTGTCCAACCAGTACATTTACCAGCGCTTACCTCGAACTCTGACTTTCAATGAGAAAAAAAAACATTCAAGCGGGGACATCAACAAAGACCGCGCGAGAATGTGCAAAATCATATGATAGACCTTGTTCACAGTCTCCGGGGACTTACCGAAAGCAAAAAGCCTGTCCTGCCAGACAACGAGAGAAACATCATGCCACGTTAAGTTTTGGTTGGCGAGGCGTGTCCACTGACCAAAGGGTGTACGGTCATCGGGCGGGTAGAAGACGTCAACCGAGTCCAAATTGAGTGTCCTTCCGTCGGTACCGCCAGCCACAAAAAGACAGTCTCTGAATGCAATTGCGGCGTGGTTGTCACGTCCAGATAGCATGGGCGCAGCAAACGTCCAAAAACCGTCCGATGCTTGATATTGTTCTTGTCCTTCCCAGTCTGCTGGTTCTCGTAGCTGACACATCTCCACCGAGGACAGCTCTCTGGACTTTACACAACCACCGAGCACAAACACACGAGCGTCTGGCAGCGCAACCGCGGCTGACCAACACCTTCTCCGCATCAGACCCGGTAGTTTGTACCATCTGCAATAAAAAAACGGTGAGAATGGGATAAGGCAGTAAGGCAAATACATAGGCTCCCTCCTGATGACAATCCAATCATAAGAATGTGGCTGACAAGGAAATAAAACCCACAACACTCACTGTGGAGAAGAAAACATTATTTTTCAAAGTGCCCT